CTAGATAATTTCGGGTGCCCACCCCCTAAAATCGACAGAGTCGGCTTAAAGCTGAAAGACATTGGCTTGATTTATTCTAGTCGAAGCACTCAGGCACTGGGCCAAATTAGCTTAGTTCTGCGCTGGACCCATTAGCGTCATCTCCTCCAACCTCGCTAGCCCAAAGTGTCGGACTCATCAGGAAGTGAACTTATGTCGAAGAGTGGCACTAATACAGTTCTGCAACACCAAAAAGCCACTCAATATCAACCGATTGTCAGCTGACATAAACGGCATAAGTGATGCGCTACGCTAACGTTTGACTTTCGATGTTTTTTTTAAGGCGTGAAGTTTTTCCAGATTGACTTATTCATTTTTTAAGATTTCCCCACACATTCTTCATTCTTTGGAATTTCAAGAGGCGTTCGAATAGGTGTTTGGCCAATACGATGACCCGCCGCCCGTACACTTTCAGAGCTTTTATCACGTCAGTTGGTTGTGGGCCAATAGACAGTACTCCTCTTAACCTAGTGTCCCTCACAGAGCAAGTCGTCTAAGACTTCGTAGCTTTTACATCACTTTAAAAGAACAGATGATGGCAAGTGACCCCGCAGAGTCCCATGGGGAGGTATTACACTAACATGGCAATATGATTGATGACCTTAGAGAAACGTGCAAAACACTCAAATGACGGCCATTTTTAGGTTTCATCTGTAGAAAGAGACTCTACTATTGTTCTAGCAGAAAAAGGAATCATAGGAAAACTGACCATATAGAGGAAGCCAACACAATGCGAACACCACGATTACCGTCAGCATCATTGTCGCCACTCGAAGCTTGATACGTTCATCGCGGATCTGAATGCCCTTTATAGTTGATAGCACCACACAAGGCTACTACAAAAATAGCTCCAAGAAATAAATTATAGTGTGGGTGTTCCGTTTGGTCACTAGTCTCTCTCGAAATACCGAAACATGGTGAATGGGCAAAAGGTCAAGATACGAAATTTTGGTGCACTATGTATTGTCTGCATCATGGAATGAAGTGACTTTTGCAGACAATAATGGGGTTGGACTTCTGGCTCCACTGCTCAAACAAAAAAAAACAAAAATTAAACAAAAACAACAACAAAAATAATTGTTAGCTAAAGGTTTGCCCAGAATTTACGAATCAATACAATATAAACTACACCTTTTTGAAGTCAACGTTATAGGTTTTTTGAAATCACGAATTCTCAAGGCAGGAATGACTCAGGAATCGAGGTACTCTTGAGAATTTAAGGTTTTACGGTTTTGCAAAATCGATTTCCAGTGGCTATGTACTCGAAATAAGCTTGGCGCAAAGTTCTTGTTTCCAATAAATAGTAGCACAATAGTGCGGATTCAGAAATTCATATATTTTTTGGATAGAAACGATTTGTGAATCTGAATCGAAATTTCCATATATTTTCAATTGGCAATGCTTTAGGCTTTAGCACTCACATGTGCATCTACGGCGAGGCTTCGATGATTCGACACTGTGTAGAAGATTTTCGTATACGAAACAGAGATGAGCAAAAATGGAACAATAAAGGCCAGAATCAGGTTCACTACCACGAACTGTAACTTTTCGTTTGTCCTCGATGCACAAACACACACGGTGTTGTTCCCATATTCGAAGTAGATCTGAAAACAGCAAATGATTAGCTGTTAACAAGAAGGGATCACTGATTGTGGGTGTGCACTGTATGTAAAAGCAAAGATCGCTGTGAAAATGGTTTAGGAAATCTCCCTCTATGGTACTACTAATCCCCTTATACTACATGTAGCGCTTTCAGATCGATCAACGGCCTAGACAGGGCGTTATAAGGACAGTGGTTTCAGTTGAATGCCACGCCCAAAGCGGACGAGATTTAACGGTGTTGCAAGGGCTGCACCATTCCAAGCTACCATGTTGAAAATCAAAAGATCTAGACGTGATCCATAACGACAGTGAAAAGCAGTTTTGGACACTCTTTGCTTAATTTAGTCAGCTTTTTACGCAATTGCAACGGCCGAAATATCGTCCATACTCCCCTCCCATGCCATGATGATCTCGTCGAAACTCTGCTTCCATCTCTTTCGGGAACCCCTTTTTTTCGCGAAATCGAAGAATCTTCTCGCTTTCTTCGCCTCTGATGCACTATTCTTCACCAACACATTCGCCTTTTAACTTGAAGAAGGTATCTAGATATTATCTGACTTGCGTACTTGAATTAAATAATGGAAGTTCGAAGTGCAGAATAGTGCAAAAATGCAAAGAAATTCTGTCTTCGAAGAAGTAGCGAGTGAGGAGGCTGTCTGAAACCGTGTCATACGGGTGTCACCCACATAAGTGTACCACTCAACGTTTCCAACATTTTTCCAATGTTTCATCGTTCATGGTGTAGGCTTAGCAATCCGTCATAACAGGGCCACTTTTGGGCGTGTGCGTCGGCTAGTCTAGGTTGGGACCCTTATTACGCCCTATTCAGGCGTTTTCAACCCGACAGCATCCCTTGGGCTATAAGGGGTCCACAAGCGCATCCTAGTTGAAAGATCAGTCACCATTTCTTTATGAATTATGCCATCAACGTTTAAGAAAATTCTATTATCTAATCTGGCCTACGGCTGTCGCCTGTACCTGATCGTAAGTTGCCTTCAAATTTCGGCCCTTTTCGCCTCCTCTTCTACCGCTTTTAGAAAGGGTATCGGTTGTAACAAGGAGAAACAACGTAAGCGTCTCAGTGGGCAATGGTGAAATAGCACTTGTTTCGGTTATTACCCATACAAACAAATCATCATCTTAACGGATAGTCAAAAATCACTCCCATAGTCGGACAACCGTAGTGCTCACGGATGACCTACATACTTCAACCGACAATTCTATTATCAGAGACCTATACTCTGATTAGAAATTTGAAGTAGAGCATGAAAGGGTCCCAGTTGTTCCAATGTGAACGTTGAGGGGTAGCTTACCGAACGTACCTCATCATAGCCATACAGGCTAGGGGTTGCCAGCGAACCACTGACTACCCAAATACCAGCAATAACATATAACGTATAACCAGCTTCCCATAGTGTGTACCTAAAGTGCCTTCAGAATAAATGCAACAAAAAAGCTCACATCATAATTTCAGCTCACTTCAACGTATGACAAATTGCTAAATAACGATCAGCTGTAACTGCCACAAGAGTATAAATGGAAGCACATGAAGTTGTAGCGTTTATCCAAGTTGACAGCTTGCAAAATAATGCGCCGAGGTGCCAATCTGCAATCCAGAACGTATTTATTTCACTCTTGCTTAGAACCTTAGAACCTGTCACATGCCGTAGGGGGGACAGCAACCCCCTATTTTCGCTCCAATAGAACCTGGAGTGTTTCGTGTGACAGATAGTTTGGGAACCAGATTGAAATAATCAAGAAGTAAATAGGGGCATGATAAGGAGGGGATTAAAGGAGATATGATATTGCCTCTCCCAACCCCTTCCCAACCCCCAACCCCCCCTCCAACCCCACATCTCTTCGCGAGGCCTGAAGCTCTTTTCTTGTCCATAAGACTTATCGAGGAAACCACTTTACTTGAGAAACTATTGACATCGAAGACCCTGTTCAAAGTGAGCATAATGTTCTTCGAAGCCATCACAGAAACATCCCATGGTCGGAATTTCGGGAAGTTTTCAAGAGGACTATTATAATGTAAAGCACTGTAGTTACAAAACTGCGAAGTAAACTCGTTCTAAGCTCGCCTTCTTCGATCGAGTATAAACTGCTGCAAAGCACCTCCGAGAGAACTACAAACCAATAATGGGCGCTTCCGCAGTACAGCGCGAGCGTTGAGCGCAGAGCGTCGGAACTGCGTTAGTGTCCGCACCGCTGCTGACGTAGTTTGCATCTGTTTGCATGTTATCTTTTCAAGCAGAACTGCGTTGAACTCTTCTATCATAATGTGCTTTCGCCACATTATACCACAGNCCTCCCTCCGCAAATTGGAACGATACTGAAACACAAAGTAGGTAATTCAGATAACGAGCACACCCCAACGCTGATCACACCATTTATCGAAACAAACTGGTGGAACACCTTAATACCAACAAATTTTAGGGTATCGAGGCTGTACAAGGCTTGCGGAACAGTTCGAAAGTTTGAAAATTCACCGTCAAGTCGCAATGAAGACAAATCATGTCTGAATGAGTAATAATTTAATTTTGAACATAGCCACCTGTTAAAATATTGTTGAGCAATGTAGTTGGAAGGCAGAAGATGATGATGAGCAAATCTGCCATGGCCAGCGACGATATGAGGTAATCAGTGGTACTTCTGAGTTGCGACTGTGATACCACTGCCAATACAACAAACACATTACCTGAAACCACTTGATCATCAATCGCTCCTGCTGCGAGCATTCGTTTTTTAAGGAGAGATTGAACGAGTATTCAGAACACTCCGCAGCAGTTGGCAGACAAGCAGTCAGTGATATCCTATGCTATATCAATGGCATCTTTTACGGATTTTGTGACCAGGACATTCCACTTCTCTCGTCTACACAATGTAGGCTTAGGCTCAGAGCCGCATGTCGATAATTTTTTTTCAAGATTCTGTCAAGATCTCAAACTACCAGAGCCAGAGAATCACTTGAGGAAATCGCGTGCGGTCAACTAAATTTAGCATGGGAGAGTGATAGGGGCTACCGAGTAATCCCAATGTATTATATTACTGCCACTTCTTTATTTTTCAGGTGATTCAACCGGTGTGAACGTTATAATGTTGACATCACTTCCTAAACGTAGTTCACCTCACTAGAGTCCTTAATCAGCCATCGTTTTGTGGGCTTAGTACAGTTCATATCCGAACAGCAAAAAGAACATATGATTATGACCTGGTTCCCTTTCTCAGGAAGCTATGTACGTTGCCGAGGAGTGAAAGGTATATCACACACAGTGCTCAGAGGCGCAGTTCACGTTAAAAACGGTTTCTAAAATTTTTTTCCTGAGTGACCTGCAACTCCCAAAGATAGCCTAGAGGACGCTGTTGGGACGAAAAACGGTCAAGATATGCCATTAAGAGGCCCCAACC